CAAGCATTTGAAATTGTTAGGACGAAAGTATTTTCCTTGTTCTGGCTAGTTTTGCTGTGTGTGTTTTACATTTTAAGACAAATCAATCGATATGATGACCCCATAAAATTTGTTATTATTTTGCTTTCTTTTTTGGCTTTTTGAAAGGGTTGTAAGCAGCAAGGAAGCTTTCCATCTATGAAAATGAGCATCTCTAGTAGTCACTAAATTTTAGTAGATGTTACAAAAATTTTGCATTTGTTTTGCTATCCATGTGATTTTTAAATGGTTCAATTCTAGGCCCTTATATGTCCACTGAAAAAAATTAATGGGCTTCTAGTATATGCCTGGCATTGTGTAAGGCATTAGGGGACTGATATGATTTGACTGTGTCCCCACCCAAACATCGCCTTGAACTATAGTTCCCATAATCCCCATGTGTCATGGTAGGGATCTGGTGGGAGGTAACTGAATCACAGGGGCAGTTACCTCCATGCTGTTCTTATGATAGTGAGTTCTCATGAGATCTGATGGTTTTAAAAGGGGCTTTTCCCCTTCTGCTTGGCACTTCTCCTTCCTGCCATCATGTGAAGAAGGCTGTGGTTGCATGACCTTCTACCATGACTGTAAATTTCCTGAGGCCTCCCCAGCCATGCTGAACTGTGAGTCAGTTAAACCTCTTTCCTTTAAAAATTATCCAGTCTTGGGTACATCTTTATTAGTAGCATGAGAACAGACTAATACAGGGACATACACAAAAGTATAGACATCTAGATATGACAATCTGGGAGAGGAGTTAGAGAATCTGCAAGTAATAATTTATATTCACTATGACACCTGCTATGGCTTAAAGATTAGGGCAAAAGGAAATGGGAGGATAGAGGAGAATTTTAAAATGCCTTTGCTGTGAATTGAGTATTGACATACATAGGGGAGCTCCCAAGATCTTCGTTCACAAAATAGTTAAGAGGCCGGGCGCGGTGGCTCAAGCCTGTAATCCCAGCACTTTGGGAGGCCGAGGTGAGTGGATCACGAGGTCAAGAGATTGAGACCATCCTGGTCAACATGATGAAACCCCATCTCTACTAAAAATACAAATATTAGCTGGGCATGGTGATGCGTGCCTGTAATCCCAGCTACTCAGGAGGCTGAGGCAGGAGAATTACCTGAACCCAGGAGGCGGAGGTTGCAGTGAGCCGAGATCGCGCCATTGCACTCCAGCCGGGTAACAAGAGCGAAACTCCGTCTCAAAAAAAGAAATACACATTCTAAACACACTAAGATCCTTAAGAAGCATACATGGGGTACTGTTTTGAAAGTAAAGCAACGTTCTATTAGGTTTTTAAAATGCTCATCTTAAAATTTAGCCTTTTCTGGTCCATATTAAGTTGCTCTGACATTCTATAAATGAATAAGCTAAAAATAAACATAATATTGATATGTTTAAAGTATATTTTCTGTCTGAATTCTTCACAAGATTAAAAGAAAGTGGAGTACATTATAAAGTAGGTTTTGGCATCAACTCAATTACATACATTTTATAAGATGAGACTAAATCAAACAACTTTAGATAAACTGTGATAACCTAAATTAACAACATAGGTTATTAGTCAACAAACCTGTCACATATATCTGTTTTAGTTTGGCTTAACTTTGGAGATACTTTTTGGTTTTACCTTGGCAGAAATTAGAAAATGGCCTTGCATCCTATTTATTTACTTTGAATGTATTTCTCACGGCGGACATGCTGCTTAAGAAAACAGGTGTTTCAGCACAATCCCTGGGAGAGTCAACTTAAATTTAATGTGATTTTGCCTAAAGAATCAAATAGAGTATTAATGCCTTGTTTTGACACAGGTTGGTAGATGGCATTTACTTGGATTTAAGTGAATGATTTGTCATTAACTTAAATCCAAGTAAATGCCATCTACCAACCTGTGTCAAAACACCCATGATTTTTACACCAGTCTATTAAAACCTGCCAACTCAAAAATAAAAAAACCTGCCAACTCTTTGAAACCACTAATGTTGTCAATATCATGCTTTGAAGTTTGGAGGCTTTGGTAATATAGGATAAAATCTAAAGAAAATTATTTTACCACTTCAGCACATCATTGGATCTTTCCTTAGTGAGTATGGTTCACTTCTCACACAACCATAGTAATAATAATAAATGCCATGGACATTCTGAGTGTATATTTAAAGAAAGGATGAGAAGAAGAGACAAATAGCAGCATTTTGATAGTATTTCTGTCCTTCCAAAGGGGCTGAAAAACACTGATATTGCTGAATTGATATGCAAATCTGAATGTTCTACTTTATTCATCTAGCTGTGAGCAAAAACTAGAAAACTCAAGACAGCAAATGCCACTTAACTCTGGATTATTCAGTGTGGAGTGCATTTTAGGGTGAAACTAAAGAAGAATAGGTTTTCCTTGCTTTTTCTCCCCAACTGACAAAGAAAAATCAAGCAACCTCCTAGAATTAGAGTTCAATGATAGGTAGCCATTTCAGAGAGGTCTGAAGACCTGGTAGATGGATAATGACCAGTTCAGGATGCTGACGGCTTACACCTGTGGCAGAGGACTGCCCACGCTCCGTGTTTGTTTCTCACTATGAGAGCAAGTATTAAGCTGGATTTAAAATTCTGATGACTCAAAATATCACCTTCCTCTCAGGGCATCTTCTCCACCATTGTAATTAACCATAAAATGGGCCCCCTTTACTCCAGGACAGGGACACCTTGCAGCCTCCTGCCCCTCCTAGCCCACACTTAGATTTAGGAGCTGCGAGGCCGGGTGCGGTGGCTCACGCCAGTAATACCAGCACTTTGAGAGGTAAGGCAGGCAGATCATGAGGTCAGAAGATTGGGATCATCCTGGCCAACATGGTGAAACCCCATCTCCACTAAAATACAAAAAATCGGCCAGGTGTGATGGCACACACCTGTAGTCCCAACCACTTGGGAGGCTGAGGCAGGGGCATCACTTGAACCCAGGAGGCGGAGACTGCAGTGAGAAGAGATTGCACTACTGTGCTCCAGCCTGGGTGACGAGAGTGAAACTCCATATCAAAAAAAAAAAAAAAAAAAAAAATGTTAGAAGCTGCAGGAAGAGAGCTCTGTCTTGAAATATTCTTATTTCTGTTAAGGCCTAGTGACCTTTGAAGTGTGTCTAATTTGTTGTCTCATTTACTGTCAAGCTTTACTCACTCCTTTGGTTGGATTTTGACTAAGTGAAGATCTTTCAAAATTTATGTTTAGCCCAGGCACAATGGCTCACGCCTGTAATTTCGACATTTTGTGAGGCCAAGGCAGGAGGATTGCTTGAACTCAGGACCTCAAGACCAGCCTGGGCAACATAGGGAGACCCTGTCTCTACAAAAAAATAAAAAACACGGTTGGGTGTGGTGGCATGTGTCAGTAGTTTCATCTACTTTTGGGGCTGAGGTGGGAGGATCACCTGAGCCTGGGAGGTGGAGGCTGCTGTGAGCCACGATCACGCCACTGCACTCCAGCCTGGGCAACAAAACAAGACCATGTCTCAAAAAAAAATTATATATATATATATGGATAAATAGATTATATGTATATGTTCAAATGCCTAGAAATACATCAAGAAATTGGATACATTCAAATATAATGGGTAATAGTATCAATGATTGCTCTGCAAAGGAAATTGTGGAATCATTTTTATTTGTTCCGAGTATAACTGTTTGATGTTAGAATTTGGCATTCCCTGGTGGGAAATCTATTATAGGGATGTTCTGCCAAGATAAAGGAAGGAAGAAATAAGCACCACACCCCAGTAAGACTATATAGAGGCTTTAAAAAACACTTTTAAAAATAGCTTGTCTGATGATAGAATCAATTGACCTTAAGGAATATTTCCTAATCCTACTGCCATGAGGTGTTCGTTTCCAAATTTGTATGGCCATCATTCTGACGGTAGTCCCATTTCTCTCTTCTAGGTTTCCCAAATCCTGCTCCTAGCTCTGCTGTGGGAGGGGGCTGCTTTCCACGTGTCCATCGAGCTGCTTTGAATCAGGAGCACAGTTGCATCATGAACATCAGTCCTTGCCTTTCTATAGCCTGCCATAAAAAGTGTCTCTTACTGGGGCCTCATGATGTTGCTTCAGTACACTATCAGCACTGCGAAAAGAAGAGCTTGTTCTTTCTGAAGAAGCGTCACTTACAATTTCGAGATAACTCACCAGTTAAATTCACAATTACTATTCTCTAAATTGACAGAAAAGTGATACGCTGAATGTCAACTGATAAGAACCTGTCTTCTAACAGACATGAATCATAAAGAGCAAGGAAAAAAACCCATTTCTGAACTTCCCTTTACTGGTTTCCCTTGATGGATATATACAAACCAGAATAATATTCGGAAATCCTGGAAGTTCTCTGTCTTAGTCTGTTTGGGTTGCTGTAACAAAATACCATGGGCTAAGTAGTTTATAAACTACAGAAATATATGTCTCACAGTTCTAAAAACCGAGAAGTCCAAGACAAAGCTCAGGCAGATGTGGGTCTGGTGAGCCACCATTTCCTGGTTCATAGATGGTGGCCTCTCACTGTGTCCTTCCTCATAAGGTGGAAAGGAGAGAACTCTGGTCCTTTCAGCCCCTTAGCAGGGTACTCATCCCATTCTCGAGGTCTCTACCCACATAACCACATCACCTCCCATAGGTCCCACCGTCTAATGCCATCACATTGGTGATTAGATTTCAACATATGAATTTGGTGGGGTATGCAAACATTCAAACCATAGCATTTTCCAAGGACTGCTTTGCAGTTTCCTATTCTCAGATGTACACCTTCATACTGTAACAGATCTGAAAGTGTTGGATAGTTTGAATGAATGCTGATCATGCAAAAAAGGCACGTATCTTTTTTTGATCATAATTTGTTAGAATTATCTGTGAACAGGGAAAAGATATATCAGATGCTTTTAATAAGCTAGAAAAAAAGCCAAATATTCCTCCCTTAGATAAGTAGAAATGAAGGACTGTCTTACCTATTAGGCCTTGATTGTAAGTCATTATCTCACAGGGGTCTGTGTTACGTAACTAGGTCCAACATCAGGTCAGCAAGAGCTTTTCCTCTAGCAGATTGATGTATGTATTTGCCTAACAGATGATTTAAACACATATTCTCTGTAAAGCTGTATGGCTTCTCTAGGAGTACAGAATACAGATTTCAATGCAAAAAGGTCTTTGTCCCGGATAATAACTTAAAGATTCATCAAAATTGTACAGCAAATAATGATAGGATTTCTGTCACAACACAATGCCAAGTCTGAGCTCCTGCTTCAACTTTTGCAGGTTAGTCCTTCACAGAAATACATTTATCAGGCAATATTGTTTGGGGGAAGAATATTATTATATTAATCATCTGGAAGAGGAAATTTATTTTGCATCTGAAATAAGCATAACATAATTAACCTTCTTCTGCCTTAGGTATAAGGGCTAAAAAATAATTCAAAAGCCCAGTGAATTTTAGAGTTCTAAACACCCTAAAATAGCCTAATAATGGATTTATGCATTATTTTTTCCAATAATGTAAACATTACTTGAAATATATTACTTAATTTCTATTGGCTCTAATGTAGGTGACTGTAATTATATACTCGTTGATGATGATTATTCATGGACAATCTTTATGTCTATTTTACAGTAATTTTTCTGCTCATATGATGTGCCCACACTATGCTAGATATTTCAGGGGGATAGAAAGACAAGGAAAACATAGTCATTTACACATAGGACTGGGAGAACCATGGCAAAGGATAGCACTGGAAGAGATTACAACATTAACGGACACCTTGGAGGAGGAGATTTCTGAAATAAAAACTGAAGCTTGGACAGGATATTTGCAGGTAAAGCTAATGCCACAGAACAATGAGCTTTAACAGAGTCTTAGAGGCAGGGTAGTGAGAGAAAAAAAAATGTCCAGAATTGGGCCAGTGCAGTGACACACACCTGTAATCCTAGAACTTTGGGAGGCCAAGGCAGGCAGATCACTTGAGGTCAGGAGTTCAAGACCAGCCTGGCCAACATGGTGAAACCCCATCTCTACTAAAAATACAAAAAATTAGCCAGGTGTGGTGGAACGCACTTGTAAACCCAACTACCTAGGAGGCTGAGGCAGGAGAATTGCTTGAACCCAGGAGGCAGAGTTTGCAGTGAGCCGGGATCACACCACTGCACTCCAACCTGGGTGATAGAGCAAGACTCTGTGAAAGAAAGAAAAGAAAAGAGAAAGATCCCAATTCATTAGAAATAAGACTTTACAAAATGTAGATCCATTTATTAAAAAAAAAAAAAAAGTTTGCATTTCCCCCCCAACTCCCAAAATGATACTCACCATACTTTTAGTAGTATTTCACAGAAATCAATACATGAGTTCCAAGTTACTCCGAATTCACTTTGGAATAAATTTACAAAATCTATATAAATTTGAACAATGTAGAAATTAGAAACAAGGCATATACTGGAATATACACTGATTCATGGCTCCACTGGCATACTAACTTGGTTCTCCCAGGCAGGGGTCTTGGCCCACTGTTTAGAATTCACTGATGTCAGGATAGTAACAGAGGACAAGGCTGGTAGGATATTATCATTTCAGAAGGCTGCAGAATGAAAGATTGTAAAGGTTTTCTCTTAAATTAGAAGAAGGTATTAAAAGTATTTGCTAACATGAAGTTAGAAGGTATCAAAAGTATTTGATAACATGATCTGATCTGTGGTTTAGGATAATTAATTCAGTTTGATGTTAGTTCCAAAAAGCAGAGAGTTTCTCTGTTTTATTCACCACTGGATATGTGTTGCCCAAATCATAACAGGTGTTCAACCAATACATTTTTGTTCAACAATTGAGCAGACAAGTTAATGAAACTAATTATAAGAACAGTTTCAAAAAATACAAGATGGTTTAAAAAAATGCAAGTACCACAAAAAAAAAAAGGAGGATGAGGATAGACAATAAGAATATTTTACTGTAGACAGTAAGGGATCTGACATGATCTTCATAGGGACCCTTCCTGAGAGCAACAGCAGGTCACCATGTGGAGTTTAAGAAAGATTCGTTGATGAGAAAAGTGGAGGCCACACCATTGTTTCAAAAAGTCTGACAGTCACTTTGGAGAACACTTGGGCATTGCCTAGTAAAGTTAAGATATACACACCCGAGGCTCGGCAGTTCCAAATGCAGAGCTCTGGATACAGCAGTGTCCTTTCCTGCTGTGGGAAAGATGAAGATGAAACATCCCTGGGGTCTTTCCCAAATAATAATTATTTAGGAGTAATGCCGCTAATTTACTCTTAAGTTGTTCTGGGAGAAAAAGGACTTTATACTATACTTGCACATTTTCTGAAAGGCTGGGATTGTTCCCAAATGTAAAAAATTCCTTAAAAGTATTTTTAAATAAAAGGAAGTATAAAAAAATGTATGACACCAATAAAAAGCTAAAGACCAGGTGGGGTGGCTCACGCATATAGTTCCAACTACGCCAGAGGCTAAGGTGGGAGGATCACTTGAGCCCAGGTATTCTACAGGGTTAGAGCATGGCCCTGTCTGTAAAAATAAAAATAAAAAGCTGGATATGAGGCAAGAATGTGAATGGAGGCATTGTTGAAGAAATGTAAAATTTTTATTATGATGTTTTATTGTTTTGCTTTTTTAGGATCAGGAGAAGGTTGATATGTTTGATGGGCTAGGCAGAGAAGAAGACCAGGTTAGAAGAGAAATACAACTGGAACCCGTTCTAATGAACGCTTCAATCCAGCATGCTCAATTTCATGGGATGTGGAAAGAAAGCAACTGGAAAAAGGTCACTTTTTGCCTTCAGGTAGATTACAAATGCCTTAAAGCCAAACACATACCCCTTTACCTGAGAGTGACTCTAGAATGTAGTAGGAGGTAGATTCTAGGTCTGTCGTGATGGGAATCGAGATAACAATTGCTAGAATTTTCAGCACCACTGTTCCCAATATTCCTGGACCTCAGGTCCTTCAGGAGACTGATGTAGCTTTCCGCCTGGATACAAACACACCAAGGCAGGTTTCATGAGTGAGGTTATTTATGTTGCTCTGTAAAGTCAATGGCATGATGTTCATGCTCACCCACGTCATTACTACTCGTTAGACCTGTGTTCCTGCGAACAACCCCCACAGTAAGCAGGGGCCTGTTACTACTTGTGATCTAAATAGGGCTCAGGAAGATGCTGTGGCTGTGGGGCTCACTAGACCAGAATATATAAGAAGTGGGTAATAATGTGTATTTCAGTAGTAGACTGAATAATATGCCTTGTACATCTAGTAAGTAATATGCCTTGTACGTCTACATCATTCAAATTTATATAGATGTTGTAAATTTATTCCAAACTGACTTGGAATAACTTGGAACTCATGTGTTGATTTCTATGAAATTTCTACTAAAATGAGTATTTCATCTTCATTGAGATGAAGATGGAGATGAGACAAGAACAATCTCAAGGTATTTCTTAAAGAAAAAGACAACATGTAGTGAGGATCATGGGTTTTAGATTCAGACAGTGGGCCTGTTTAGCCTCAACTTTATGACTGTGATCCAGCTGGGGAACCTCATTTTCTTCTCTATAAAATGGGGCTAATGCAACATTACAAGGTTTTTATCAAGATTAAATATATGTGAAATAACTATCATTATTTCTGCTTATAAATAGTGCTCAATAGTTATTACTGCTTTTTGTATTTATCATATACAAACTACATTCTAATCCAGTGAGTCAATAACTAAAACTTACAAATATTTCACAATCATCAAAAATATGCAAACATACAATTGAAGAAAGCATAAACACATGCTTTAAAAGCCTTTACAGTGGTGGTATCTTTCTACAAATCTGCCATTTCTTTTAACTGCTTATTCCTTAACGTTTTGAAAAAGAAAGTAAAAGAAATTATGTCTTAGGAAGCCTACAATTCAATGAAAGATTGCCTTGTGTAAAGCATCTGTTATCTCCTGCTTCCTTAAGATATCAGAGCCTTTTAAAGGGATCCATTTTAACAGGCAATCTCAAGAAGATTTTGTACTCAATGATGACAATATCCACACGTGGTATTTTAAAATCTTTTTCCAAATAAGGGGATCCTATGCCCTAGCATGCCTAGGACACTTCCAGTTTATTTCTGTTATTCTGGCCTACTTATTGATAGTCCTTTCCATCCCTTCACTTTCAAAGATGTCCTGGTTGGATAATAAATACATTCATCCTACATAAAGCATTTTACACTTAATTTTTCCTGAGAACCCAGGTTAGATGCAATGCAGCCAAAGATACTGAATATTTTACTTGCAATCTAAACAAATTACACAGATTGGCACCTAGACTGTGAAAAGGGCTCACAGGAAATTTTCCAGTAGCATTTTATTAATGGATCATAATATAGCAAAAGAGATAAAGGAAGAAAGGTTTGCAGGACCACAAGATGACCAAAGCAAATGGAAACCTGTGCTGGGCTGCTGGTGGGCAGGGTCATTGGTGGGCAGGGTCACTGCTGGGCAGAGTCACTCGTGGGTAGAGGCAGGGATGGGCACAATCACTGATGGACCAGGTCGCTGGCGGGCAGTCATGGGTGGCCAGGGCAGGATGGATAACTCTGGCATCAAGTGTGCTTATGCTATGCCCTCAATGGTTTGGAAGCTCCCTCCAAAACTGGTAAGAAAGATGAAAGGATCTTATTTTGGTTGACTAAAAAATGATTTTTTTTTTGAGATGGAGTCTTGCTCTGTTGCCCAGGCTGGAGTGCAGTGACATGATCTTGGCTCACTGCAACCTCCACCTCCCGTGTTCAAGCAGTTCCCCTGCCTCAGCCTCCTGTGTAGCTGGAACTACAGGCACTTGCCACCATACCTGGCTAATTTTTTGTATTTTTAGTAGAGACGGGATTTCACTGTGTTAGCCAGGATGGTCTCGATCTCCTGACCTCATGATCCACCCCCTTTGGCCTCCCGACTTGCAGGGATTACAGGTGTCAGCCACCGCACCCAGTCTAGAAAATGATTTTTTTAATCTAAATATTATGCAACTTTTTTCAGAATTTCTATTAGAGTTTAACACCTAGCTCATTTTGAACATTTTGAATTCTGATATCCTATACCCTGGAGATGAGTTCATTGCATAGAATTAAAGGAGGTCACATGGAAAATATCCCTGTCTTATTTTGTCTCCCCTCTCCTCTATTCTCCTCTCTTCTCCTCAATTAGCTATATTTATAATATTTTCAAGAAAGAGAGAAACTGTGTTTATGCCTTTTGCCAGTTAAAAATTGAGATTTCTGGATTAATTTTAGCTTCTGGGGAAATTCAAATCTATTACTTTTTGTAACCTAAGTAAGTTATGAAAAAAATACTTAAGATAACTTACACATCATTAGTTTATGAAGTATAAATGTACTGATTTTTGTTATGATGACACTATACCACTTTAAGTAGAATTGTAAGCATTGTGCTGCTCAAAATTATTTATTTACTCAACCTTACCTCTATTAAACTTATTACTCACAGGAAAAACAAAATGGATATCTTGGCATGGAATAAAGACATACAGAAAGAATAGATGGCTTTCAATGCCAATTGCCAGAGCAAAGATTATTTTAAATCTAATAGTGCATAAGAAATTATAATCACAAATTACAAATTATGATTATAATCACAGTCACAAATCAAATAATTGTGAATCACCATCAGTAAATTTCCACGAGTAAAAAATTCAGTAAATGCTATATTTTAAAAATATTCAGCCTGAAGCCCTCTGGTCATCTCAAGACCTTTCTATTACTAACCTATTCATGTGCACAAGGAGGCCTGTGCCTATTTGTGTATTTATTTTTAAAAACTGTTTTAGAAGACTTTCTGAGCATGACACCCAAAGGCAGAAATCATTATGAAAAACATTATAGATTTAACTACATGAGAATGAAATATGTAGAGCAAAACCTACTATACACAAAATTAGAAACAGAATATGTAAAATACTTGATGGACAAAAGGTTGCCACAATTCATACATAAGTTCTCACAAATCAATTTTTAAAATCGTCTCCCATAGAAAAAAGGGCAAAGACTTGAAAAGAGAATTTACATCATAACACAGCCAAAGAGAAAATAAGATAAGTCTTTCTTTCTGATAATCAGATAAATTCAAATGAATATACAATGTGATAGAGCACTTTAACCCAGTAGACTAAGAAATTAGAGTGATCACGCCTACAACTGATGAAGATGAAGGCAACAAATCTCTTTCGTGCATTGCTGGTGACAATGTAAGTCAGTACAAAGAAATATGGTAACATGTATTAAAAGCCTTAGTGATGTACAAATCATTTGACATGGAAATTCCCCTTCCAAGAATTACTGCTTAGGAATGGATTGGAAAAGAGCACAGGATATGATAAAGATTTTCAACACAGGGATTGACCACTTGGTGAAAATTGAGAAGAGTCCAACTGTCATTAATAATGAATTAAATAAAATCAAATGGCACATTTATATATGAAATATTCTTCATTTGGTAAGAATGGAAATTTATTTTTATTGACATACAAGAAGGCCAATATATATGTAACTAAAAAAGCTAGTTATAGAAAGAATATTTACAGTAGGATTTCCATCTTTTAAAAGAATACAAACCAAAATTATATCAACATTATCTTGCAGTGGTAAAATTACAAAGAATTTTTACTTTCTCCTTTATATTTGTCTATATTTCTAAATTATTATAACCAGGATGAAAACAATAAAGGAATTTTCCTGCCCCCTTTTATTTTCCCATTATAAAGGAGAAGATGTCATGGTAAGTAACTTCTGGCCATTTTCAATAGGTAGATGTGAAATTTAATCCACTGTTCAAAAAAAAGCCTTACTTACATTCTAATGAAAAAACCTAAATGGAAAATGTGCTCTGTATTTGAAACTTCCAGACATTGACAAAGTAAATAGGAAATCCCTACATCCAGGGGCTGTGTGGACCTCTGCACACAGAAAGATCACTTGCAATGAAGGGTCACCTATGTCTTGGCATAAAGAGGCTCTGAAGACTGTCAGTCTATCTGGGGGGCAGATTTCTTAGTATCACGACGTTGCTCTTCTGAAGGTGGGCAGCTCTTGATTTGCTTCTCAGCCCTGTTTCATCTCACTTACCGGCACAAAGTGAGCCGGTTCTTGGTAACCAAGAGAAAGTGTAGTTGGAGGTAAGTGGGAGAGAAGGAAATGATGACAACCACTGGAAAACCTTCCAGGCCACAGCCTGCAGAACAATGCCACCAGGCCCATAAATTTAGTGCTAATTTTATCTCTGGAAAATCACAAAAATGAGCCTGACTACCTTACCTCCTGCTCCACGTACAAATATTTATGTCAAAATTTAATCCAGGGGGAAAAAATGAGCCAAATAAATACATGCAGCTAGCTAAGTCTTTCACAAAGCGGCCTTCAGTGTTTCTACCCAGCATAAGAACATAACTCCTGGCTCTTCTACTGAAATGATTCATGAAAAAAAAAAAAGCTAAATATGTTTTCTTAAGAAGCAATTCAATGTGTCAGAAAAATATGATTGTCCTAATCCAGTTTAACTTTTAACCTCAATAAATAAGCAAGAGAAGTTTGCAACCTGAGCCTTTCTTAGCAGTGAATGTTTCTCTTCCTTCTTACTCCTAAAGAGTTTTCCTTTTTATCCTGGGGATATAGGAATATTATAATTCATCAAAATTTCATCCCTACAGGAATCTGTACACCCCCAAAAAATGAGCTAGTAAAGGAAATCATGAAAGCTACCTTCACAAATGCTTTTTTCTAAAGGTAGGCACCCAACTGGGTACAACCCAGAGGGAGAGCAAGGGATGAACGCAGAGCCCTCCATAAGACTTTCTCTCCCTGGACAAGGAGAGGAGACGAGGGTCAGGACACAGTGCTCTCCGGGTATCATTCAATTACACAAGCCCAGACAAGTCACTTTGCTGCTCCAGGACCCTGCAAGAAATGTTTAGACTAAAGGATCTCATCTGTGTCTTACAGTGCTAAGATTCCATTATTTGTAATATACAACTAAACAGAAGTGGGGGGGAGAAAGGGTACAAACCAACATGTACGGAGTGATCCTATTTCTGAGAAACAAAGCAGAAACATAGTAATAAAACGAAAACATATGTATCAGACAAGGACTGCAATGAAACTCAACAAAAATCATATTTTGATGGCAGTTTTTTCTGTTCTTCATACAAGTTCTTGGTCAGTATAATATTGCAAGGAGTATCTTCTCCCAATCGGTGGCATGCTTTTTTACCCTCCTAAATGATGTCTTTTGATGTACAGTTTTTATTTTTCCCCTTTAAATCAGCACTTTGCCTAGGTTAAATATATATATATATTTTTTGCTTACACCAAGACATGAAACTATCAATGGTTTATTTTTATCTTTTTGAATCAAGCCATTCAACCAGTGGGCCAGGGAAGTGCCATTCTCAAGGCAGTGTCAGAGGTGGCATGCTTTGCTTCAAAATGGAA